TCGGGCCGGGCTTGGGGGGTAGAAGAACTTCCAGAACCCCATCAAGCAGGTTAACACAAGGTCTCTGTAACACTCTATACAATCTGGGGCAACCGCATACAATACCCCATACAATTCATACATACAAAATAAAATACAACCCATACAATAGGGTTGTATTTTGGCCATTGTGGACAGGAAGAGTGTACCCAGGATACAACACACGGTAGTTGCCGAGAACTCCTAGGTACCTATTTTCCTGCTGGGGGAATAGAGGCATCAGGTGAAAGGAAACGTGCCCAACTGTTTCTGCCTATAACTCCTGGGTACCCATTTTCCTGCTAGGTGAATAGAGGCATCTGGTGCAAAGCAACGTGCCTAACTGATTCTGCCTAGAACTCCTAGGAACATATTTTCCTGCTAGGCAAATAGAAGCATCAGGTGCAAGGAAACATGCCCAACTATTTCTGCCCTACCCGAGGAATTGAGCCCTGGGTCCCTCGGTTGTGAGCCCAGGACGTTAGACCAAGTTTCAAGATGTACAGGTTTCGTAAATGATTGATAAATCCTTGTCCCAGGAGGGCAAAACCCTCGGCGGCCTCGAACCACAACCAGTTCTTTTCATTTACCACCCTGTAAATAATTTACTATTTTACCTAACCAAAAATAACTTACCAACCCTATCAACCCACCCAACCCATTGAGGCAAAGATGTTTAGAAAACGTCAACATCACGTTGCATTAGGTTTTGCTAATACGTCGCTTTTTAGACGGATTGGTTGATTCTGTAAAAAAAAAATTATATATGGGGGTCGTATTGGATGCGAGGACGGGTGTAGAGGCAAGCAGAGACGCATTAATGATCCAGGGTGGATGGATTAATGATCCATGATGGAGCCATCCTTAACTACCATAGCTGGGGTCTGCAGCGGCTGCCATCCATCCATCAGCGTCACTGGCAGGCTATAGTAGCTAGCGGCTGCCCTCCGCTGCCTCGCGGCCGCCCTCCGCTGCCTCGCGGCCAGGCCTTCTTCAGCGCCGGAGTTATTGGATCCCTTTGTACCTGTCAGCCTTACTGAGGGTTTAGCTATGTTCACGCCCTCATACACTCTTGAAGCCCCAACGCCCACATACACTCTTGAAGCCCCAACGCCCACATACATTCTTGAAGCCCCAACGCCCACATACACTCTTGAAGCCCCAACGCCCTCATACACTCTTGAAGCCCCAACGCCCTCATACACTCTTGAAGCCCCAACGCCCTCATTCACTCTTGAAGCCCCAACGCCCTCATACACTCTTGAAGCCCCAACGCCCTTCTTAATCACACTCTTGCCCTCATTCACTCTTGAAGACGCCCCTTGAAGCCCCAACGCCCTCATACACTCTTGAAGCCCCAACGCCCTCATACACTCTTGAAGCCCCAACGCCCACATACACTCTTGAAGCCCCAACGCCCACATACACTCTTGAAGCCCCAACGCCCACATACACTCTTGAAGCCTCAACGCCCACATACACTCTTGAAGCCCCAACGCCCACATACACTCTTGAAGCCCCAACGCCCTCATACACTCTTGAAGCCCTAACACCCACATTCACTCTTGAAGCCCCAACGTAAGCCCCATTGACAATTGTAACGGTCATGTCCCCCCCCCCCTGTTCAGCGCACTAGCCTGTCCAGACCGGAAAACGGGCAAGTAGACAGGAAGACAGGCAGACAGGAAGACAGGCAGACAGGAAGACAGGAAGACAGGCAGACAGGAAGACAGGCAGACAGGAAGACAGGCAGACAGGAAGACAGGCAGACAGGAAGACAGGCAGACAGGAAGACAGGCAGACAGGAAGACAGGCAGACAGGAAGACAGGAAGACAGGAAGACAGGCAGACGGACAAAAAAGTCACAACACGCTACACTCCCTCGGAAGCAGCAATAATATTTTATAATATGGAACAAAAACAATCCTTGGAGAGTCCTGAGCTGACGATGATAGCCCCTTTACATAGAGAACAAGTCACAATAACGGGGCTGAAACCAGTAACCCAACCCACACGTGAGAAATTAACGTGTAGATGTTTCGGTCCGTCCAGGACCCTTATGTGACGACGTCTCGGTCCGTCCTGGACCCTTATGTGACGATGTTTCGGTCCGCCCTGGACCCTTATGTGACGATGTTTCGGTCCGTCCTGGATCCTTATGTGACGATGTTTCGGTCCTCCCTGGACCCTTATGTGACGATGTTTCGGTCCGTCCTGGATCCTTATGTGACGATGTTTCGGTCCGTCCTGGACCCTTATGTGACGATGTTTCGGTTCGTCCTGGACCCTTATGTGACGATGTTTCGATCCGTCCTGGACCCTTATGTGACGATGTTTCGGTCCGCCCAGGACCCTTATGTGACGACGTCTCGGTCCGTCCTGGACCCTTATGTGACGACGTTTCGGTCCGTCCTGGACCCTTATGTGACGACGTCTCGGTCCGGCCTGGACCCCTTATGTGACGACGTCTCGGTCCGCCCTGGACCCTTATTTAAGTTGTGACATTTCGAGTTAATATAAATTGCCTAATATTACCACTCTTCCTTGTCACGACCTCAGGGGTCCAGGACGGACCGAAGAGTCGTCAACTTCCATTTATATGCGAGTTGAGTAATTAAGAATCAATTAGCTCCAACAATCAGAAGGCGCGAGAAATCAAATTTCCATGATTCTTCCTGGGATACATTTCCAGACATTTTCAAGACTGGCCTTATCATGGACCCTTAATTTTAGCCTTACTTCAAGCTCGCATGTTAAATCTTCATGGAAATTCAACAAGAGGGTTTAAGACTTTCTTGTAGGGATGAACGTCCTTGAGAAGGTTGGAGGGTTGGGTGTAGGGGGTGTAGAGCCCCGCGCCTCTCACCCGCTGCCCACACCCGTCGCCGCCCTCTTGCCAATTATGGAAGACGTTATGCAAATTAACTTAGGTGGGCACGTCAAGATGGTATCCCCCAGCGAGGCGCCGGGAAGTGGCCGGGTGTTTTATGTGTCCGAGGGTGTATCTTCCTCCCTGTGTCCGCACGTCAAGGGCGACGCTGGGGGGGGAGGTGACACAGGGGGGGGGGGGGGGAGGTGACACAGGAGAGAGTCGCCGACGGACACAGACGAGGGACACAGACACAGCTATAGACACAGGTACAGATATAGACATACCGACAGAGATATAAACATAGTGACACACACGTTTACGCGGCGGGGCTATAGAGCAGAGCTCGACCCTGCAAGCACATCTGGGTACACACACATATTTACCTCGGACCTCGCGGCTGAGTTGACAGCGCTTGGGAGTCGTAGTCCTAATGACCCGCGTTCGATTCCCGGCGGAGGCGGAAACAAAAGGGGAGTTTCTTTCACCCTGACGCCTCTGCTCATCTAGCAGTAAATAGGTACCTAGGTGTTAAGTCAGCTGTCACGGGCTGCTTCCTGGGGGTGGAGGCCTGGTCGAGGACCGGGCCGCGGGGACACTAAAGCCCAGAAATCATCTCAAGATAACCTCAAGAAGATGGTCCTCATCATTACTACAAGTACTACCAAAATAGGAGTATGCGCTGCCAGGGTTCAGTATTTGGATCTGTCCTGTTTCTCATAGGTAAACGATCTACCAGAGCGAATAGATTCATTCCTCTTAATGTTTGCTGATGATGAGAAAATTATGACGAGAATTAAGACTGAGGAAGACAACAAGAGGCTACAAGTTGACTGGGCTAAACTGAAGAAATGGTCCGACAAATGGCTACTAGAGTTTAACTCGAGTAAATGTGAAGCAGTGAAGCTACTGTAGATGGAGCCACCCAAAGGATACCTGATCAACCAGGCTGTGACTCATACGTCAGGCTGCGAGCAGCCGCGTCCAACAGCCTGGTTGATCAGTCCGGCAACCAGGAGGCCTGGTCGACGACCGGGCCGCGGGGACGCTAAGCCCCGGAAGCACCTCAAGGTAACCTCAAGGTATCCTCAAGGAGTAAGCAGGGGCCAGATTCACGAAGAAGTTACGCAAATACTTACGAACCTGTCCATCTTTTCTCAATCTTTGGCGGCTTTGTTTACATTTATTAAACAGTTTACAAGCATGAAAACTTCCCAATCAACTGTTGTTATTGTTATAAACAGCCTCCTAGTGCTTCGGGGCTCATTAACTCTTTAACAATTGTACACAAAGCTGCCAAAGATTCAGAAAAGATGTACAGGTTCGTAAGTGCTTGCATAACTGCTTCGTGAATCTGGTCCCAGGAGGCTAGATACAACGTACCAAATGGGAGATGAAATCCTCCACGAGACTAATAGAAGGATCTAGGGTTTGATATCACACCGAACTGTCTCAAGAAGCCCAATTGAGAAAGAATATCATCAGCGGCTTATGTGAGGCTGGCTAACATCAGAACTGCCTTTAGATATACAAGTAAATTTTTTTATTTAGAATCGTTTAAATCAAATATGTTTATACCACATATACGGCTCGAGCATGGAACCCAGGCTCCGTCAAGCACAAGACCAAGTTGGAGAAGGTTCAAAGGAACTAGACCAGTTCCAGAACTACGAGGTATGAGTTGCGAGGAAAGGTTGTGTGAATTGAACCTCACTTCGCTGGAATACAGAAGAGTTAAGAGAGAGGCATGATTACCACATACAAATCTTCAGGGAAATCGATAGGATAGATAAGGACAGGTTATTTAACACGGGCGGAACTCGCACAAGGAAACACAGGTGGAAACGGAGCACCCAAATGAACCACGAAGACATTAAGAAAAAATTGTTTCAGTGTCAGAGTATTTAATAAATGGAATGGAAGTGATGCGGTGGAGGCTGACTCCATACACAGTTTCAAATGTAGATATGATAGAGCCCAGTAGGCTCAGTAACCTGTATATCAATATACGCACACCTGTACGCGCACACGCATGCACACACGCTCACACACATACTACGCAGTAGACATAATAGAAGAAAAATAGATTGGTTAGAAAGGCGGGGTCCAAGAGCTAATAGCACGACTCTGCAAGCACAAAAGAGTAAATAAAAACAAACACACCACAACTCGGGGGGGTCATAAACAAACACACCACAACTCGGGGGGTCATAAACAAACACACCACAACTCGGGGGTCATAAACAAACACACCACAACTCGGGGGTCATAAACAAACACACCACAACTCGGGGGGTCATAAACAAACACACCACAACTCGGGTGGTCATAAACAAACACACCACAACTCCGGGGGTCATAAACAAACACGCTACAACTCGGGGGGTCATAAACAAACACACCACAACTCGGGGGGTCATAAACAAACACACCACAACTCGGGGGGTCATAAACAAACACACCACAACTCGGGGGGTCATAAACAAACACACCACAACTCGGGGGGTCATAAACAAAACACCACAACACACCACAACTCGGGGGGTCATAAACAAACACACCACAACTCGGGGGGTCATAAACAAACACACCACAACTCGGGGGGTCATAAACAAACACACCACAACTCGGGGGGTCATAAACAAACACACCACAACTCGGGGGGTCATAAACAAACAAAACACAACTGTTCTACAAGATCAACAACAACAATTGAACATTAAAAGTGTCAATCAAGCTTATTAAATCTTATAGTTACAAATTCGGGGGCCGAGGAGCTAAAGTTCGATTCTGGTAGCGTATGTAGATGACTCCCCAGAACAGCGGGCCTCGTTCCCACCCCAAATCCCCAAGAGTATCCCACGCGGTCATCACTATTTGCCTCCGTAAAAATATATAACATACTTGAATACATAATGCAGGGATGAAACTCAAATTTATTATCCCTTCAAGATTAATTAAATGTCACTTCCCCCAAGTGACTGGGGGAAGTGACAGAGCGTCCACAAAGCTCTATCACTTACCCCAGTCACTTGGGGAAAGTGATAGAGCGTCCACAGAGCTCCATCACTTACCCCAGTCACTTGGGGGAAGTGATAGAGCGTCCACAGAGCTCCATCTCTTACCCCAGTCACTTGGGGGAAGTGATAGAGCGTCCACAGAGCTCCATCTCTTACCCCAGTCACTTGGGGGAAGTGATAGAGCGTCCACAGAGCTCCATCACTTACCCCATCACTTGGGGGAAGTGATAGAGCGTCCACAGAGCTCCATCACTTACCCCATCACTTGGGGGAAGTGATAGAGCGTCCACAGAGCTCTATCACTTACCCCAGTCACTTGGGGGAAGTGATAAGAGCGTCCACAGAGCTCCATCACTTACCCCAGTCACTTGGGGGAAGTGATAGAGCGTCCACAGAGCTCTAATCTGCTACAGCTTCTTTGATAAACAGTTATGGCATTTCCGAATGACCAGATCCCTTCCAGGAGCTGTAGAGTTATACCGGCTTGGTGTTTTCTGCTGGTGAGTTTACCTGGCCTTACCTGTTGGTTTTTTGTGTGAGCGGCGTTCAGGAACGGTGGTATGGAAGGGTCGGTAGTTGATAGTTGATCAGTGTGTTGTGTCACCTAGGGGCACACGTGGACAGTGTCACCCAGGGGGCACACGTGGACTGTGTCACCCAGGGGGCACACGTGGACAGTGTCACCCAGGGGCACACGTGGACAGTGTCACCCAGGGGCACACGTGGACAGTGTCACCCAGGGGCACACGTGGACAGTGTCACCCAGGGGGCACACGTGGACAGTGTCACCCAGGGGGCACACGTGGACAGTGTCACCCAGGGGGCACACGTGGACAGTGTCACCCAGGGGCACACGTGGACAGTGTCACCCAGGGGCACACGTGGACAGTGTCACCCAGGGGCACACGTGGACAGTGTCACCCAGGGGCACACGTGGACAGTGTCACCCAGGGGGCACACGTGGACAGTGTCACCCAGAGGTAACGACAATTCATCCAGGAGTTATGTACTAATCATCTTAAAACATTAACATTCCCCTTAACCGAGTTTCTCCCTTAGAAATGAACACTTTAATCACCTGATTATCATATTGCATCCTAGACTGCAGAGGGGCGGGCGGGCGACACACACACACACACACACACACACACACACACACACACACACACACACACACACACACACACACACACACACACACACACACACACACACACCACACACACACTCCAGGAGCGCAGGGAGCTGCTTCCTCCATGGAGGGAGAGGTTGTGAAGGACATGGCTGTATTGGGTTGTGTAATGTGAAGGTGAACCGAGGTGTGGGTGTTGTTTGTGTAAGGGGGGTAGGTGTGGGCGTCGTCTGTGTAGGGGTGAAGGTGTGGGTGTTGTGTAGGGGGCGGAGGTGTGGACGTCTGTGTAGGGGTGAAGGTGTGGGCGTCGTCTGTGTAGGGGGGAGGGTGTGGGCGTCGTTTGTGTAAGTGGGGAGGGTGTGGGCGTCGTTTGTGTAAGTGGGGAGGGTGTGTGCGTCGTTTGTGTAAGTGGGGAGGGTGTGGGCGTCGTTTGTGTAAGTGGGGAGGGTGTGGGCGTCGTTTGTGTAAGTGGGGAGGGTGTGGGCGTCGTTTGTGTAAGTGGGGAGGGTGTGGGCGTCGTTTGTGTAAGTGGGGAGGGTGTGGGCGTCGTTTGTGTAAGTGGGGAGGGTGTGGGCGTCGTTTGTGTAAGTGGGGAGGGTGTGGGCGTCGTTTGTGTAAGTGGGGAGGGTGTGGGCGTCGTTTGTGTAAGTGGGGAGGGTGTGGGCGTCGTTTGTGTAAGTGGGGAGGGTGTGGGCGTCGTTTGTGTAAGTGGGGAGGGTGTGGGCGTCGTTTGTGTAAGTGGGGAGGGTGTGGGCGTCGTTTGTGTAAGTGGGAGGGTGTGGGCGTCGTTTGTGTAAGTGGGGAGGGTGTGGGCGTCGTTTGTGTAAGTGGGGAGGGTGTGGGCGTCGTCTGTGTAGGGGGGAGGGTGTGGGCGTCGTCTGTGTAAGTGGGGAGGTAGTGTGGGTGTTAAGGTGGCTGTGGGTGAGTGTGGGGAGCACGCAGGACGGGTGAAGGGGATGTCTGGGTGTTCAGGGGGAAAGGGATGGGGAGGCAGAAGGGTCTGGATAGAGTTTTAGCCTCTTTCTCTAGTGAAGTAGACGCGAAATTGAATTACATTTGCATATCCTCCCCACTGAAGATGGGTTATGGAAATCTTATGGTCACTCAGTGATCAGAGAGACGCCTGAGTGATCAGGGACGCGCCAGAATGATCAAGGGACAGGCAACAGTAATCAAGTAACACGTAACAGTGATCAGGGACACCCACGCTGATCAAAGAACGCACCACTAATCCTGAACATGGCTAGGTGATCAGAAACCCGCCACAGTAATTAGGAACACTGTTGAAAGGATTGTGTTCTCCCTATAATCAATAATATAATGTAATTGAGTTTTGTGTATTCTTTGCCACCGCAAATACAGCATGCTAAATGAATCTAAAATGTGCACTCCAGTATTTACAGAGTTTCCCCCTGCAACGACACGAGCGAATGAAAGAAAACGAACCCGTAACTTCTTACAGAAAACGGTTAATCATACAGGGATAACTATTTATATTCCAGTACGCCCTAACAACACCCATCGATTCAATACGAACATGGAAGAATGAACTATTAAATGTATCACACATTGCCATGTAAAGGGATACTTCACCGTTTGAATACATTTCTGATAACACAATCTTAGAAGGGTACTCACTTGGAGGCGGCGGTGGTCACCATCTCACTCTCTTGCTTCTTCTCTCTCAGCTTCTCAAGTTCTTTTCTCTCTTGCTGAGCTTGCTTCTGCTGTTGCTTGTATCTGCAATACAATGTTACATAAAGTGTAAATTGATTTACACTTCGTAGTAGTGATTTTATTTAATATGCAATTCATTTACCCAATAATTGTTCGTATTAAACATATTCGAATGCATATTTTAAAAATATAATTATTATTATTATTATTATACAATCTTTCGGTACAAAATGTGACTTGTCATGAGTGTTACATCAATTTGATTTATCATTTTTAGATCAAATTTATCCAAAATAAAGATAAAATAAAGCAAAATTAGATTTAAATATACAATGAGACCATACGAATGAAACACTACAACTGGCTTACTAGCCCAAGCCAGGGAGGTCCTCTTATATATCCGGCTGCCCAAGCCAGGGAGGTCCTCTTATATATCCGGCTGCCCAAGCCAGGGCGGTCCTCTTATATATCCGGCTACCCAAGCCAGGGAGGTCCTCTTATATATCCGGCTACCCAAGCCAGGGCGGTCCTCTTATATATCCGGCTGCCCAAGCCAGGGAGGTCCTCTTATATATCCGGCTGCTCAAGCCAGGGCGGTCCTCTTATATATCCGGCTGCCCAAGCCAGGGAGGTCCTCTTTTATATCCGGCTGCCCAAGCCAGGGAGGTCCTCTTATATATCCGGCTGCTTTGATTCACTTATCAGTCGAACCCAAAATAACTTACCCAGATATGATCTTGCATGATAGTTGCAAAGATACTTGGCATATTGTTGCAAACTGTTGCCGCTTTATTGCCAAACCGATACTGCACTACGGCTACTACTATCTTCATTAAGCTCTTAACATTTTAATGACTTGCTTTGTTGATCTAATCTGGCCAGTAAAATTAAGTCAACTTTATTTATGCTAGTTATCTATTTCGGTTATAAGGTCCCTTGTTCTAAAGTAATGGGGAGGTAACATCGTCAGATTTCTATGTCTTACAGAGAATTATGATTATTCTCTAGTAAGGTGACTTTACTACACCCCCAAGGGAGCCGGTCGGCCGAGCGGACAGCACGCTGGACTTGTGATCCTGTGGTCCTGGGTTCGATCCCAGGCGCCGGCGAAAAACAATGGGCAGAGTTTCTTTCACCTTATGCCCCTGTTACCTAGCAGTAAAATAGGTACCTGGGTGTTAGTCAGCTGTCACGGGCTGCTTCCTGGGGGTGGAGGCCTGGTCGAGGACCGGGCCGCGGGGACACTAAAAAGCCCCGAAATCATCTCAAGATAACCTCAAGAAGATGGGCTCTCAAAAAAATACTAGTAGTAGTAGTAGTAGTAGTTAGAAACAGTTGATTGACAGTTGAGGGGTGGGCCGAAAGAGCAGAGCTCAACCCCCCCAAGCACAATTAGGTGAATACAACTAGGTGAATACACATCTTGTAATAAAACCCTGCGCGACATTACTGGCCGTACAGCATTTACAAATACTTTATTGTTAAGTAACCGCTGTAATAAGATCCCATTTTCATATAATAATAATTGAGCCTTAATACTGCGCTCTGTTGATCACTGTTTATATTTTAGGGCCTGATTAATCATTACCTTCAGAGACTTTCAGTGGCATTTACTATCATCTTCACTTTACATACAAGTGTCAACAAGTACTTTGGTCTCGACTGATCTTCATATGCTACTTTCCGGACCAAATTTGGCGTCTATTAAGTCTTCCCGCAGTTTTCAAGTCTTCCTTCGAACTCTTCAGTATTCAGGCGATGAGTCACAATAACGTGGCTGAAGTATGTTGACCAATCTACACATTAGAAAATGAAGGGACGACGACGTTTCGGTCCGTCCTGGACCATTCTCAAGTCGATTGTTGACGACTTGATCTAGTAAAGCTCTCACAATCGACTTGAGAATGGTCCAAGACGGACCGAAACGTCGTCGTCCCTTAATTTTCTTCAGTATTGTCATCGCATTTCCATATACTGATATTTGCTCTGGTGCTACAAAACTAACCAAATTTCACTGAAATGACTTTCTCTAATTTTTGTAAAGCTCTGCAAGCGGCCACTTTGATGACCAACTCCTTGCCCAACCACTTGGGCTGGACGGTAGAGCGACGGTCTGGCGTCATGCAGGTCTGTGTTCAATCCCCGACCGTCTAAGTGGTTGGGCACCATTCCTTTCCCGCGTCCCATCCCAAATCCTTATCCTGACCTCTTCCCAGTGCCATATAGCCTAATGACCTGGTGCTTTCACCCTGATAATTCCCTCCCTCCAAGCGGCCACTATGAGGCTACACAGACCTAATGAATTCTCATGCGGGAAGAACCCAAAATATTAAGCAAGTGACCGCAAGTGTTCAATACAAAATGTGAACAAAGAAATCACATTAATGAACAAATCCACAAGGGCCGTGACGAGTATTCGAACCTGCGTCCGGGAGCATCGCAGACACTGCCTTAATCGACTGAGCTACGACAGGGTGAAATCACATTAATGTTATGTATCGATGAGAAAAATCACACGTTGGAGGTCAAACACCTACACCACAGCCAGGGTGTATGCGGCTAATGCCTGAAACCCTGACTTGGCTTCAGTGGAAGCCTCAGGTTCCCTAGAGTCCCAGGTTGTATTGCTTTTTAAGCATGTCGTGGTCGAGTGGTTTAGAGTGCATGCTTGGGAGTAGCCAGTGTGCAGGTTCGAATCCTCATAAAGGTTCTAGTTTATCAGTCCAGCACCCAGGAGGCCTGGTCGACAACCGGGCCGCGGGGACGTGAAGCCCTGGAAGCACCTCAAGGTAAGGCTTCTAGTGAATTTCTCAATACGTACTGTGTTCCTGCAGTATCGCTCGTAGTGATCGCTGGAGATACACTTACGTAGTGATACACTTACCTGGAGAGAGCAAAGAAGAGCGAGAGGATGGCCTTGAGATTGCCGTCTTTGATGTCCTTGGCCGTGAGTCCGTCAAGGGCCACTCCGACCCCAGCCAGGTAGGCCAAGGATGAGCCGATGTTCTCCAACTGTAAGAGAAAATGTGTCCGGTCAAGTCTGGTTCTAAGGGTAACTACGCCAAAATGGCCAACTAACTTGCCCGAAACTATAACAATTAAAATATGGCGTATGCTTGAGTGCCTGTACTCGACTATTGTATGTACTTACCTTATTGTGCTTGCGGGGGTTGAGCTCTGGCTCTTTGGTCCCGCCTCTCAACTGTCAATCAACTAATGTACAGGTTCCTGAGCCTACTTGGCTCTATCATATCTACATTTGAAACTGTGTATGGAGTCAGCCTCCACCACATCACTTCCTAATGCATTCCATTTGTCTGCTACTCTGACACTGAAAAAATTCTTTCTAACGTCTCTATGGCTCATTTGGGCACTCAATTTCCACCTGTGTCCCCTTAGTGCGTGTGCCCCTTGTGTTAAATAGCCTATCTTTATCTACGTTAGTATAGTTCATTTATTATGCACCCCATACCAGTCCTGTTGGCAGAAGTGGAAAGGGTTACAGAGGCACATAATTGGCTCAGGGACCGAACCCCAAAATCCATTTAGCAAATCAAGTTAGTTTTGATGAACCAGTTACAAAATTCAATGCACATCGTCACATCAACAAAAGGCTCAGGACCGATCACAAGTATGGTTTCTAAATTAAGCAATTGACATATGTGTGCATGATAATATGATAGATGGACTTGCGTCGATTTCACTTTGCCTCAGATCTACAAGGTTTTGCATAATACAATATTGCAATAATACAATACTGAGCGGGGAAAAATAACCTTATGATGCCTCACCCACTATCCACTTCATCTCAGCCGTCGATAATAGTTTTGTGACTCGGAAATCTTGTGAAGGCATCTTCACAAGATTTCTAGGGCCATCTTGTGAAGCGCCCATAACTAGTAATATCCACACCGTAAATGTGATTGGATAACTGCCGTAGAATATGAATAACACCTGCTGTGTAGGGAACACCTGTGTGCAACCAAAACACCTACACCTCACTCACCAAAACACCTACACCTCACTTACCAAAACACCTACACCTCACTCACCAAAACACCTACACCTCACTCACCAAAACACAATCTGTGTATTTATGTTTATAAGTTAGGTTAACATTTGAAAAGCACTACAATCCCCTTCTGTGGTCGATTGTTCATCCCTGACAAGTTTCTCTCCTTGACAAATGCATATAACTTGACTGTTCACCTCTCTCTCTCATAGGTGAAGAGTCAAGTGTCTGTTCACCTCTAAGAAGTAGTGGAGTTGAACACAGCGACAAGACAACGAAAATGGGGCTGACAAGGATGACAAAATGTAATAAGAGAATTAAGCAAAATGACACAATGAAGAATCTTCAATCCTTAAACACTGTACACAAGATTATTATTATTATTATTATTATTATTACTATTGTCATCATTACTACCATTGCCCATCACAAACAGTTGTGTTCCCCTCATCAGAGCCCCCATTCCCACCTCACGCTAGCTCCATTCCCTTCACCCAAGCCCCATTTCCTCCCTCACCCCATCCCAATACCTCATCACAGCCCCATTTTTTCCTCTCTACAGCCCCATTCCCCCTCACCACGGCCCCATCCCCACCCCCCTTCGTCACAGCCCCATTCCCCCTTCACCACAACCCCATCCCCTCTCACTACAGCCCCAATCTCCCCCCTCACCACAGCAATCCCTCATTCATTCAATCCTCCATTCCCCTCGTCATCACAGCCCCACCCCCCCTCACAACAGCCTCAATCCCCCCCTCACCACAACCCCAATCCCCCTCACCACAGCCCCATTCCCCCTTCTCACAGCCCCATTCCCCCTTCTCACAGCCCCATTCCCCCTCCTCAGCCCCCTTTCCCCTCTTCACAGCCACCATCCCCCCTCCTCACAGCCCAATTCCCCCTCCTCACAGCCCTATCCTCCCTCACCACAGCCTCAATCCCCCCTCACCACAACCCCAATCCCCCTCACCACAGCCCCATTCCCCCCTCCTCAGCCCCCTCCCCCCTTCTCACAGCCACCATCCCCCCTCCTCACAGCCCCATTCCCCCTCCTCACAGCTCAATCCTCCCTCACCACAGCCTCAATCCCCCCTCACCACAACCCCAATCCCCCTCACCACAGCCCCATTCCCCCTCCTCACAGCCCCATCCCCCCTCCTCACAGCCCCCATTCCGCCCCCTCACCACAGCAGGGAAGTGGGGCACCCACAACTCCCGTGACTGGCCGGTATAAACACTAAATCCATAAATTATCTCTTAATTTCCTGTGTAGCAACGGAGACCTCAAGACGGCGGCGGTAATTAGACGGGTTCACGGGCGTCTTGCTGCCCGGAACTGGGATACGAGGACAAGGAATTGGGATATAAGGACAAGGAACTGGGATATAGGGACAAGGAACTGGGATACGAGGACAAGGAACTGGGATACGAGGACAAGGAACTGGGATACGAGGACAAGGAACTGGGATACGAGGACAAGGAACTGGGATACGAGGACAAGGAACTGGGATACAAGGACAAGGAACTGGGATACGAGGACAAGGAACTGGGATACGAGGACAAGGAACTGGGATACGAGGACAAGGAACTGGGATACGAGGACAAGGAACTGGGATACGAGGACAAGGAACTGGGATACGAGGACAAGGAACTGGGATACGAGGACAAGGAACTGAAATACGAGAACAAGGAACTGAAATACGAGAACAAGGAACTGGGATACGAGGACAAGGAACTGGGATATGAGGACAAAACTGGGATATGAGGACATGAGGTGGGATAAAGGAACTGAATGACCTAAACATTCCCAGCCACGTGGACCATCGGGGATCGAACGCCGGCCTTGCAGGCGTTCCATCTCCGTTCCTCTAGCGGCTGCGAGCAAAACATACGGTGCCCCCCCCCCTTTATCGTGTAAAAAAAATCCATTACTGCCCTTATTTTCATTTATATTTTCAGTCCTCTATGAATTCCAATTTCTTCCATGTCCGCTATTGTGGACATTAAAAAAAAATAATAAAATACTTCAATTTGTACTTTTCTTTTATATCCAATTTGTCCTGTAATTTGCACTCCCTTCCATGACTGTCCAGGCTGTTTAGGTTGGGTAATAGTGCATCGTATCTTTAAATTACATTTTTTATGTTCTTATTAAAGAAAACGGACCTGGCCCTTGTTTACATTCGAGTCAATTTACAGTTTTGAATAAAACCTGTATTTGTTTTTTGTTTTGTTTTGCTTAAGCAACAGAGCTGTGGATAGATATATGTTACTCAATTCGTCCATTTCTTTATTTTCAACAAGTTTATGAAAGAAGTTATTGACTTAATTACTGAATCACGGGTGTCATAGTCGAATAGTTAGTTTCTATAGGCTACGGCGATGTATTCTAGCGAGGTAAACTATGACATACTTGCAGTCCATGCAATGATATAACACTGGCATTGTATACTGCGATATATACTGGTAATGTATACTACGGTTCATACTGGCAATTGGGTTGATATGTGAATTAATGTGTCAATTTATACACATATTATAGGAAGATACAGAGCATGCTGGTGCTCATTCAGCACTGTGTGACTGTGGGTGACAGGAGGGGAAAGGAGAGAGGAGGAGGAGGGGAGAGAGAGTGTAACGGGGGGTGGGGGAAATAGCTCTATCTTGTCCATTATTCCACCCCCCAGTTAACTAACGAGGCCGAGGGAAACAGCTCTCTCTAGTCCGTTATCCCGTCCCCAGTTAGCTATTCTAGAGCACTCCCAGAGATCCTAAGGCAACCTCTCTCGTTCAACACCTTGTAACCTAGGTATTTGACTACCTAGGTGCTAAGACAACAAGGCGCCGTAACTGGATCAGCGACCCGAAACTCTAGAGAGAACTCTAGAATACAGAATCATTGCCACAAACGTAAAAGAGAAAACGAAAGGAAAGAAATGAATAGTGAAGTAATTAGTGAGGGTTTGGGGTGAGAGGCAGGGAGGTGGGAGGAGCGAGGAGGGTCATTAGTTGAAAGTGAGAGTTTAGAGAGGGGTGGAGGGGGAGGTGTAGATAGGTAGAAGTAGAAGAGTAGATAGTAGAAGAAGAAATGCTGCCACCATCCATTCATGATCATTACATACAAGACAAGGAATGGAACTTGCCTGTATCACAAAATTCTCAAAGGATGTTATCATGAGTTCATTATTAATATGTTCCCTCTGTGCCATGTATCAACTCCAAACATGTACTCATTAATATCTTGAATCTAGTAACCACCGAGGCTTTCTCACCTCAACTCAAAGCTCTAGGGAACAAAGACGATTTAAATAATAAGTTCATATATTTCATAAATTCAACAATTATATTTTTCATGATAAGTATCATAACTTAAGCAATCCCATTAAAATGTTAAAGATTAATATTCAAAGTGAGTCATCCTCCAAGAATCTGAGAACACTACAATTGACTGCCCCTGATCTTCACACAACACTTGTAAAACACGACCAAGTCACCTTACTGCTCAACTCACCAAGTGTGTGTGCCTATAGCTGGATAGAGAGGGGGGGGGGGTCTGTAGTTGACGGAGACTCCCGCCCTGCCGGCCGACAGCCTCCCTGCTAGGGCCGTCTGCTCTGCTGGCTCGTCTGCTGTTCTCTTAATGCTAATGCTCTATGCTCCCTCAGTATATATTGGGGACCCTAGTACTAACTCCGCCCACAAGTAGATAGCCTCCGGCACTACCAAGCCACTCCTTAAACGTCGGCATGTTTGAAGGCTACCAGACTACAATTATAAGCTTAGCGGAAGCAAGGTGAAATTCTCATGATCTGACCTCAGGTCACTTGAGGTCATTAACGCTTTGAGGTGTGAGATCTCAGGCAGACAACTGGCGCCTTCTCTAATCCCTGTCTGTGACTCATGTACTCTATGTATGTATTAAACTTAACCAACCACCTTACAGTGTTACAAGAGAGGGGAGAGAGAGAGGGGGGGAGAGAGGGGAGAGAGAGGGGGAGAGAAAGGGGGGAGAGAGGGGGGGAGAGAAAGGGAGGGAGGGGAGAGAGAGGGAGTGGAGAGACCTGCTTGATGGGGTTCTGGGAATTTGTCTACTCCCCAGTGACTTGTGAGAGTTTGGTCCACCAGGTTGTTGCTTGGAGCGGCCCGCAGGCCCACATACCCACCACAGCCCGGTTGGTCCGGCACTTTTTTTTTTTTTTTTTGAAGATGTCCACGGTTGTCCAAGGAGAGAGAGGGAGGGGGGAAAGAGAGGGAGTGAGTGTTGAAGGGAGAGAGGAGGGAGAGAAGGGAAGGAGAGAAGGGAGGGAGGGAAGGTTGGAGGGAGTGGAAAATGCCCCCCCCCCCTCCTTCCCCAACACCCCCTTTCCCCCACACACCTGCGCGAGGGACACCAGCCCCTACAACCGTACC